CCGCACTCACACGGTCCAGGGAGCCCGGGTTCCTGCTCCACGCTGCCTTCATGGCCAGGCTCCAAGACGAGCCGGTTGCACCCCAAACTCTCCACCTTCCAGGCACAGCTGAGCCCCATGGCGTTCGAGTCCATCTCACCGCCAGCGGTGCTACGGGCCGGCCAGTGCATTCCCGTGGAAGCATCTGGCACAGGGCGCCGGCGCAGCAAACCGGTGGGAGGAGGATTATGGACTTGCCCCTTGGCGCGAGGTGCTGTGCTGGGAATATTTTCCTTTGTCTCTTGGAGGTTGGCCTCTAACATCTCCGGAGCCCTCTGAGCCAGCGCCTTTCCTGTGCGCACCACACCTCAGACACTCACCCAGGAACAAGCCCCGCTGCCAACTCTGTCCACACAGCGCCAAAAGCCACACCCACACAGGCCCTAACCTCATCAGCGCCTCAGACAACTGCACATCCGCTAATGCGATCTAGGCCAGCATGTGCCAGCCACGCCCCTCGGCCATGGCTAGCACACACACACCTGGAGGGGAACATTTTAACCTGCCTGGCACTCAGTCGTGGATTTAAAAGTAGCCAAACTTCTACAAAGGAATTTCTCTAACCAGTTCCAGAGACAATTATTTTTACAGTTACCGAGAGAGAATGCAGAATTCTGTTCCTTGATAGATTTGACACTGTTACCTTGGGCTTGAATAAGAACATTAACTGGTTGCCACAGTACCCAGCCAATTTCTTCCACCTTTACCATCTGCATTTCCACATCAAAAGCTATGAATGGGACACACCCAGCCCACTTCATTAGCCTCATTAACACAGGTCCTACAATTGATAGGTACTTCTGCTGCTGTTGTCTCTATCTTGGGTTCTGTTGTTTCCACTCCAGTTCGTCCAATGACGTAGGTTTTGCTCACGAATACTCATGAGTCTCTCTAGTTTGGTTAGTCTCTAAGGGTATGTCTACACTAGCCCCCTAGTTCGAAGTAGGGTGGCTAATGTAAGCATTTGAAATTGCAAAGGAAGCCTGGGATTTAAATATCCCGGGCTTCGTTTGCATGTTCCTGGGCGGGCGCCATTTTTAAATGCCCGTAGTTCGAACAACCTGCCCACGGCTACACGCGGCACGGACTAGGTAGTTGGAATTAAAGCTCCTAATTCGAACTACCTAGTCCGTGCCGCGTGTAGCCGTGGGCAGGTTGTTCGAACTACGGGCATTTAAAAATGGCGCCCGCCCAGGAACATGCAAACGAAGCCCGGGATATTTAAATCCCAGGCTTCCTTTGCAATTTCAAATGCTTACATTAGCCACCCTACTTCGAACTAGGGGGCTAGTGTAGACATACCCTTAGAGACTAACCAAACTAGAGAGACTCATGAGTATTCGTGAGCAAAACCTACGTCTGTCATTCTTCATTGTGCTCATCTGCTTCTCCTATTCCAGCAGAGCTGGTGGCTTGTTCTCTGGTGGCGTAAGTC